AAAGGGTTTTTTTATTTTAAAAGCAAACTTAATTAAAAGGAAAATGGTTTAAGAATTTTGGAAACAAATTTTGTGCTCTTGGATTAACCATAGTTACAGACTTAATTAGAGTTCATAACAAAAACCTAGCACAACATGGATAAGAAAATATTTATGACTATGGTTACATAAGTGATTTCAGCATTCCTTCTCTATGCTTGCTCCTTTAGGTAATCCAAATTGATATATGCAATGCTAGATTCAAATGCACATAACATGCATTGCTAAGTTATTGATCAAGGGAGCTAGGAAAGTTGCAATAAAATTACCTTCATAAACATTATTGGCCAAAACATTTTTTGATTGAAAAACAAACCATTAGAAAAAAAATCACGCAGCAGACATGAACCTGACAAGATTATATCATATTGATTATGTGCAATTGAGATATCAACTTCATGACTGATTGTATCCTATTTGATCCTCCATGTCTTCTCTATACCCCCAACCTCCATATAGGCTCCCTCACGTGGTGTAAGCCACTGATTAAAAAAATCAAAGATTATAAAGTATTCAAAATCACTTTGCAGCAATGAGGCCATAGGTCAGTCTGGTGGTCAAGGCCTAAGGCTTTATCTAGGAGATTTAGAGTTCTACCAGATGGGTGCCAAGTGCAAGGAGGAAAGAAATAGCCAATCAATAATGGGGCCGACAACCATTCAAAGGGACTGCATTAACAAAAGATTTGTTGTGGCCCAACAAAAAACACTTTATCTAATCAACCACAACTCACTTGTTCTCCAAACTCCCATTAGCCTTACTCATCAGATGGGAAAAACCCGTTTTTGTTTTAGTTAGATCTCTTCCTGAACTAATTTGGTTTCTAAGCTGCATTCGTGTGTGGACAAGATTGATCTGAGGGCTGAAGCTTAAAAATACATAACAACATAACAAATACTATCTCTGGTGGCATTTTTGTAATTTGATTGGCTTTCTAGGGCATTTACAAGTTTAGTTTTGATACATGTTCATTTTGTTCTCCATTGTTTGCACAAATTAATTATCAAGCCTCATACCTGATTTATGTCACATTTCAACACCTAGCCGCAGGGAGAGGAGACATGATGTAAGAGAGAGAAAACTCCAACGAGCTCCATTTTAGCCACAAAATCACCCATCTTGGTGTCGATATGTTGGTTTTGCAATGAGAGTTACTTGGTGGTGGTATGAAGCAATAAAATTATTTGAAAAAAGAGATTGAGATCCAAAATATAATTAAGCTTTTTAATTTCATTTATTTATTATGTTTTAGGATGAATTAAAATATGTTTTGAAGTTAAAATGATTTTCAAAAGTTGATAGAATAATTTTGATGTGGTTGAGAGCGAAAAAAAAATTGTACTTTAGGGTCAAAACTGACAACCCATATTCTGGTTACTAGAAATTACAGCGCCGAACAAACACATGTTCAACAAACATGTGTTCTAGTTTTATTTTTTGATAACATATTAAAAGACTAGATGCATAGATTTAGTTGGACTTAAAAAGACCAGACATACTCAGCCTAGGCTTGGCAAGCTCAAGCATGTTTGGATTATCCGATTATTATTGCTAAAATATAATCTAATTCTTCAAAAAATGGAATAAATAGAGAAACTTTTCCAAAAACTATTTTGTTGGACAAAAAAATCAGAAAATTGATTTGGAAGAATACCACAAAAGTAATGTAATTTTTTGTCTTCTAAATTCATTTAGGGATTTTTTTTTCTTTTTTGGCATTTAGGGTGAGGGAAATCATAGCATTATAGAGCTTTTTTATTTGATAATTTGAACACATCGAGCTTATTACTCTTTGTTAGGTTTTTAGTTTAATAAAATAAAATATTAACAACGATCAATAATTACAGTTAAAATATAACTTATTAATAATAGCAAATATTTGAAAATCAATGTTTTGGATAAAAAAAAAAAAAGATATTATGAGTAAAAATAAATAGATTTGTCGATCTTTCAATACTCCTAAAAACTTACAATAGATTTTTTTTAAAAAAAAAAAAAAAACTCTGGATACTATAGGTTTTTTGTGAGTTATGATTGATCATTCAATCTATTTATTTTACATATATCAATATTTCTAGAACATAATCTAGATTTAATTAAAAAAAAATAAAATAGTAGCTGCGGGTTGGCTTGTACTTATGTCTGAATTTGTAAATTGCATGGAACCAACAGATGAAAGAAGATGCCAATCCTTTTGCAGAACAGACAAACTTGCTGGGTAATTAAGATACTATCATCACCATTTTTTTATCCTTTTTTTATTTATTTAACGGGCCCTTTCGTTTTTCTTTTTTAATTATCTTGTTGACTTTTGATTGCTAAGTACCAGGCCACTGCGTATGTAATTAAAATTATCATCGTGAATCATGTACCATATATAATTAAGTACTATACAATAGATATAAATTTGCAAGTGTGCATGTCTATATTCTTCTCAGTTTCTTAATTATTTTCTTAAAGTTGATGGTGGCAAGTGGCATTAAGATATGAGAGAATCTCCATTACATATTTTTCTGGTACTTAATTATAATTAACATGTTTTTTTTTTTTTTTTTTTTTTCTATTTTTGTTTATTGAAACTTTGAAGTTCTATTAGTTTTTAAACTATACATAATGGGAATAGACTTCTTCTATTACATAATTTACAAGATGCTAATAATTAAGAGTATGTCGGTAAAATATTTTGTAATCAGATTTTAATGCATCAAGTTTGAATTATAAAATACATGTTACTATTATCATCTTTATGTCAATTTGTAGCGTATAGGAGAAGCATGTGAACATCTCAGAATTCAGAGAGTACTATTTTCTGATCAATTATATATGAAGAGCTAGCTACTGAATTGCAAATTTTATGCGAAGAAAGAATGGATCCTTTGATGTTCTTGCATCATTGTTGGCTAGAATTGGATAGAACAACCTTGTTGACTGTACTGGTTTTTTCATTTCTGACGTTTTGCACCATTTATTTTATCAAATCCATTAAAACAGACAAGCTCAACTTACCTCCATCCCCACAGAAGCTGCCGCTAATAGGAAATCTTCACCAGGTTGGTAGGCTTCCCCATCGATCACTCCGTACCCTCTCTGAGAAATATGGACCTTTAATGCTCTTAGAGTTTGGCAGCACTCCTACTCTCATTGTTTCCTCAGCAGAGACAGCAAAAGAGATCTTGAAAACACACGATAAAGCTTTCTTGGACAAACCTCAAACAAGGGCTGGAGATGTTCTCTTCTACGGATGCAGTGACATAGCCTTTTGTTCTTATGGTAACTATTGGAGACAAGCGAAAAAGATTTGTATTCTTGAACTTTTGAGCCAAAGAAGGGTGCAAGAATTTCAATCCGCTAGGCAAGGAGAAGGGGAGAAAATGGTTGAGAAAATACACATTTCATGTCTCAATAGAGCTGCTATTGATCTTGGTGAGATGTTTTTAATCATCTCCAACGACATGCTATCTAGATCTGCTTTTGGAAGAACATACGAAGGAGTAGATGGGGAGCAGTTGGGAGAATTGTGGAGAACAGCTATGGACCTAGTAGGAGCTTTTTGCTTTAAAGACTTGATTCCCTCGTTGGGTTGGCTGGATGTTCTCACTGGCTTAGATGCAAGATTGAAGAGGACTTCCAAAGCACTCGATGCTTTCCTTGATCAAGTAATTGAAGAACATTTGGTTTCCAGGCTTGCAGACGACAAATCTGATAAGGACTTGGTAGATATTCTGCTTCAAATTCAGAAGAATGGAATGACCGACATTGATCTCACTCGAGACAACCTCAAAGCACTCCTCATGGTCTCCCCCTCGCTCCCTCCCTCTTTATGTTGTGTGTCTGTTTCTGTGATTGCTCACCTTCTACTGAAACTTAATATCTTTTTTAATACAGGATATGTTTGTTGGAGCAACGGATACTACTGCAACAACCATGGAATGGGCAATGGCAGAGCTAGTGAAGAATCCTAATGCAATGAAGAAAGCCCAAGAAGAAGTACGAGGTGTTATCGGAGAGAAATCAAAGGTGGGCGAGAATGATATCAATCAAATGGACTTCTTAAAATGTATTGTGAAAGAGACTCTGAGGCTACATGCTCCTATTTTTATTGCCCGGAAAACATGTGCAAGTCTTGAATTGGAAGGCTATCACATCCCTCCCAATTTGAAAGTGATGATCAATTCATGGGCGATACAACGAGACCCCAAATTATGGGATAGTCCTGAAGAGTTTATCCCAGAGAGATTTGCAAATAATTCAGTTGATTTTAAAGGCCAACACCACCAATTCATTCCTTTTGGTGCTGGCAGAAGGGGTTGCCCTGGTATGTCATTCGCAGTTGTAGAAGTTGAATATGTGTTGGCTAATCTGTTGTATTGGTTTGACTGGGAGTTGCCTGAAGGCATCACTGCAGAGGATTTAGATATGAGTGATGTTTTTACTCCGGTTATTCGTAAGAAATCGCCCCTTCATCTTGTTCCGGTAGCGCACTTTCCAAAATTCTGTAAGTGATCTGATGTTGTGCTCATCTTGTTATTGATCTTTCGTTCTTTTCCAATTTATGATGCTATCAGAATTCATCAACCATATCGACGACTTGATGTGTTCTCTCAGATAGAATTCCTAAGAGCTTGACTTGGAACCAGAAACCTTGTGGATGTGTCAACATTAGCTTTTAGAACGGAAAGCATCACTATCAAAACTAAGACAAGACTAATTAACCTGCCACACGATGGTTGTAGAAACATTACATGTTCCCTTGTTGTAGATAGGGACATCATTTGCATCACTGTTCCTTGCATTTCAGCCCATTTGTAAGTAATTCACTTGTGCCATCTAAAGAGCAGAAAACAAAATGTCACATTCAGTCCTTGCTGTTCATAAAAGGACCAAGAACATTTACGCACATTGAGGAATGAAAATTTGACTTCACGTATACAACTGTCAAGGAAATTAACATTCAAATGGGTCTAAGCTTTGCCAAATGCCAACAGCTTAAAGCTTCTACTTGTCGGTTGAGTAGACACATCATCCATCAGTATCCTAAGCAAGTCGTAGCACTTCCAAGTATTTATCAAAACATAGCATTACTTCCAATTACTCATACAGAAACAAAACAAGTGATTGCATAATTTTTTGCATTTTAGAAGTTTCAGAAAAGTACCAGCAGTATGCCAAATTCACTCACATTTACAGTTTGATAAGAAGTACATGGAAAAAAAATATTTATATATAGTTGTAAGAGAATATGAACTATACAATTCTTGAAAGAGCTTTCAAAACATCGTTCATGGTTGGTCTATGATGGGGATCCTCCTCCATACAACCCTTGGCCAGGAATGTCAAACACATAGCATCAACCAATGAATAATCTCCTTCCAAAACAGGATACATGAATTCCTTCAACTTCTCCAGGCAATGTGAAGAATCTTCAAACCCTCCGTCAAATAAAAAATGGAAAGACTCCTTTAAGATTTTCTCGTCACTTGTAAAATCTTTTCCCGAAATTAACTCAAGCAAAACAACTCCAAATGCAAATACGTCTACCTGTAGAGAGGCTTGACCATTAGTAAGGTAGTCGGGTGCCCAGTGGCCGGCCTCTCTGCCTGGAGTCACATATTTATTCCAGTCAATGTCTTCCTTTTCTTCATCGGAAATGACAGGTTTTGCCAATCTAAACCCACAAATCTTGACCCTCCATTTGGCAGTTATAAGCACATTTCTAGTTTTTACATTTTGATGAACAAATGCCGGTGTTGTGCAGAAGTGTAAGTAGTGAAGGGCCTCGGATAGATCAAAGGCAATCTGCATCCTTCTCGACCATGTAAGCTGCCTATCCAATTTTACATTTGACAAGCAGTCCCTTAAGTTACCATTCTCAGCGAATTCGTAATATGTAAATGACATGGCGAGCATCTTCCTCTGACTCCATTGGTTCAATTGCTAGATAGTAACCTCCAATTCTACCTCTATACACTTCCGTGCCAATCATAGAAGCCTCGTTGAAGTCTTCTTTTGCAATCCTTAGCTCCTCCAAGCTGAAATTAATCAACGATTGCTTTAACTTAGACATTCCATCAAGAAAATCAGGTGAGACACTTGATGACACTGAACTCCTAGGAGGCAAAGTTTCGAACCTCCTCGGATGATATCTTCTTTGAATGCATATAAGAACCCCACAAGCTACAAACATCATAACAACTGCCATAGAAACACCTATGCCAAGAAATACTTGAAAATTCCATTTTGTTGATTTGGTACCAGGTACAACCTTTTCCAAGGGAATCACTGCTCTAGGAGCAGGTGAGTTTTCATGAAAAGAACCAACGTGCCATCTCACTTCCGGTACATCCTTTGTGGGAATGAGCAAAGTTGTTCGAGGAAAAATTGCTACATATGGTCTTAGATTATTTGCATCCCTGATGTTTATTTCAGGCAATCCAAATTTACTCGCGATCAAGTCAAAGCCATCCTTCTCTAAACTTGGTTATGTCACAAAATATTTCACACCATTAGTTCTTTGCTGTGAATCAGGACAAGCACATCGAATAGGTACACTGATCAGAGAACCAACAGGGACATCATGGACATCAAAATCTGGATTCTCTTCAATTAGACTTTGCACTTTCACCAACCCTGCAAAAATTTTGCAGGCGACTGATGCAAAAGAATCTTGTCTGGACATATTGTACATGAAAATAAACTTAGAGAACCCACCAAGGCAATGGCATGTAATGGGGATGATGATCTCTTGTCGAAGCGGGAGGCTCCAGCTGGAATCATTTTCAGCCATTTTGTTGACAAAGAGGAGAGTGGATTGATTTACATTGAATAGAGAAGATATTAAAGAGATTGTGTTGAAATTCTCTTGAGCTCTATATACTATATAAGCACCACAGTCTGAAATGTTTGAGCTGCAAAGGTAGTTTGATCCTTGAACTTGTGAATGTGAGTCGCAGTTAGAGCTGTCATAGATTGTTGAGAAAAGGTGGGCCTCATAAGAAAGATAACCATGCAAGAAAAGATGAATTTGAAAGGGGAAATCATGATAGACAGTAATCCTGTGTAAAGTGAAGCTGGTTCAAATTAAGAGGAGAAATGAGGGGAGGGAATGGAAGTAGATGTTTGAAGTAGTCCCAAAAGATCAGTAAAATGGCCGACTGGCCGGTCTTAAAACATAAAGTGTTCAGCTTCATTTCTTGCATATGTACTAATGCATTAAGTCTCGCGATACTTTCCCACTCCCAAGTAAATTTTCTTTTTGGTCACAGTCGAATGTTCTGTATTTTGTGTGTTTGGGAAACAATTTCAAGCACCAAAATCTAATTCCAACCTGAGCTGGTATCGTTTTTAAAAGAAAAAAAAAAAATTAAGTTGTAGCCTATGGTTGGAAAAATGGTCCCAGATCTCTTATTTTTACACAAAAAAAAATGCAAAATTTTTTTTAAAAAATTGCATATTATCCATGTTTCTAGTATTTTTGCTAAATTTTAGGTGATTTTATAATTTTTGGTATTTTATAATATATTGGTATCTTTATCCATGATATATATATATATGAAAGAGAACAAAAAAATACTAAAAGAAGAAAAACAAATGAAAGAAATTAGGGGAAACTTGAAAGGAACTAAAAAAAAAGGGAGTGAAGACAAAGAAGAAATTAGGGTCAAAATTAGAGAGAGAGAGAGAGAGAGAGAGGGGGGTAATTAAAGCAACAATAAAGGGTATAATTGAAATAAAAAACAAAAAAGGACCAAAATAAAAAATGGAGCTTTTGGAAGAACCAGCTTAAACTTCTTGTAAGTGAAACGTCAGCATTTTTAAACCTTCAAATTTTTATATTAAAAAAAAAAAGGACCCGCATAAGGCAAAACGACTTCGTTTTTCCCTGTGCTAGCACTATTCACTTTCGTCTTCTCCTGGCATGCGAATTTTTTTTCTTTTTTCTTTTTCCAACCTTTTGCATGACATTCTTCTTTATATTTTTATATTTTAGCTTGATTTCTTCTCCTAGCACAAGCCTAGACGCTCGCCATTCCTTTTCCTATATTTAGACTGATTCTTGGTCGAAAAAAGACAGCCAGAAAGCCCTTAAAAATACCATAATCTTTGTCCAAATATCCCACCATAACAACCCCCTAGGTTGCAGAGTTTTTTCTTAAAATAGGGTATTTTTTAATCTATTTTTTCAAATAAGGTATTTTAAATGTTATTTATAAAAATAGGATAATTTTTTCATATAAGAATCCATGTCATATTTTAATTAAGTGTTACAATACTAATATTTAATATAATAATTGAAAAAACATAGAAATATAAAAGTAAAAATTAACTCACGCTTTCTTTGTCCCTCTTTTGTTGTTTTTGTCATAATTTCTTAAAGTTTAAATACTCTCACAATTCAAATTATAATTACTAGAAAAGTTTTTTAACATATGAATATTGTGTACTTTTCTAAATTCTTTTATTTTTATTTATTTAATTTTGATAAATTTTCTTTTAATTTGTAAATTATACATTCTTAATTTTAAGAAGAATTTCATAACTTGTGATGTTAAATTTATCAAGCATTAACTATGTGAAGACAAAAGCAAAATCAAATATTAAAGCTTTTGAAGATTAGCTATTTCTATTTGTTTTTTGTTGCAGGGACACAAAAAGTTGAGAATTAACCAGTGTAAGTATTAACAACCCACTAGAGGTGTTTTCCTTTATTAAGTACTATTTAAAGTAATCTTGGTCATTGATGATGTAAAAAACAACTTTATGTAACAACTTCTTTTTATAATCTCTTTTTGTTCTTAATCTTTACAGGTATTTTATTATTATTTCTTTTTTCATAGGTGTCTCTGTCTGCAATCTCTTTTGTTGTTGGAGACAGAGGAGATGATGATGGTAATTAAATGATTGTAATTTGCGGAATTTTTTTTATAGAAACAAAGGATGATACTATGTGGAATAGATTCATCTAAAAGGTCAAAAGATACAAAGGGGGATAATTCAGCCTAACCCAACATTTTGGGAGGACAAAAGAATCTATACCCCTGATAAACTCTTGAAACAGATCCTATCTGTAAGCGAACAATAACTAGTATATCAGTAACAACAGAAGAAAGAAAATGCTATACTATGCCCGATAGTTATAAAATCCCAATATATCATCCTGAATGGCTACTCTGCATGTAGAAGGCAGTGTAGAAATATTAGTAACTGTCTTGTGAGTACAGTGTTGTTATGCCCAATCCGCTAGACTGTCGGCTACTCTATTACCTTCTCTTACTGTGTCAAGAATTATAGTACCTGGATGTACGAGATCTTTACATTCTCGAATAATAAACTGTAATTGCAAAAGACGAGATGTCTTTTCGATAAACATCCTAGCACCAATGTGGAATCTGCTTCTACCACCTCCACTTGAAGACCCATTGCCTTGCAAATTTTAAGCCCATCTAGTAATGCCAGAGCCGTAATAGTTAGAGTATGCCATGTCATCCCTTACTATTCCTCCCCCACAACATATATATATTATTCCTAGAAGCACCATCTGAGTTCAGTTTTAATTTACCTACTGGAGGATGCTTCCATCGAATCTATCTTCCCTTGCACCATATTGTCTGTTTAACCCTCACACCCATGGCCCTCATGCTTATCTTATCGTGAAAACTGATAGAAGGTTTAAAAATTGGAGATAGTTCATATATCCATTTGGTGATTCTGCCCTTAATGATCTGCTCATTCATAGGTTCCCCTTCAAACATAGATTTATTCCTTGCAATCCACAGTTCCCACAAGCTCCAGTTGAAAACCATCATGCGTACAATTTTTTTCTGATTATGGGATATACCTTTATTTAGCCATCTCCCATCTAGACGGTGGATATCTTACAGACCTGTAGATACATCCAGTTTCTCTACAAAAAAGTTCCAAACTTCCCTCGCCACATCACCTTGTATGAAAAGATGCCCAACAATTTCTCCCTTCAGTGATCTACAACATTACAACATTGACATTTGGATGCCATGGAGATACCATACTCCATAATGTTGTGTTCCATTGATAACACATTTTGAAATACCTTCCATGTCAAAATTCCAATCTTCCAAGGGATCTACTGGTTCCACAAACCTTGCCACCATTCAAACTTAGCCGCTTTAACTCTCCTCTCCTCATAGTAATCCTTAGTGGTAAACTGACCTGACTCTGAGCTTGTATAAATCAGTTTATTTGTGATATGCTCTTGGATGTACACCTTGTCCGGTTCAGTTCGTAACTCAGGGGGCAGACTTAAATAGTTGTGCAATGTTTTGCTTAGCTTGAGCCACCGTGATGTGCAAGTCTCCCACAGGCTGAGGTAGATCAGTAAGAGACCATCTATCCTTCCATAGACTAACATTTCCCACTCCCACTATCCAGACTGATTGGTTTAGTAAGTAGCATATATGAGGATGCAAGGCTTTCCAGATCACAGACCCTTTCTGCATATTGAGTTATCCAGAATATGATGGCTCCCCGTATTTTCATCTCATAAATTGACTCCATAACGAAGAGGTTGCTAGGAAGGACCAAGCCAACCTCCCTTTCATTCAATTTAGCACCTCTTGGAGATTTCTGATTCCCAGCCCACCCTCTTGAACAAGAAAAGAAATTGCTTTCTAGTTGATCCAGTGATGCCTAGTTTCTTCCTCGATATTCCAAAAGAAATTGGATATATGACCTTGCATTCTGGTAACCATTGCTTTCGAGATTGGCAAGATTCCCATGATATAAACGGGCAAGGAAAACAAAACACTTTGTATCAATGTTAATTTCCCCCAGCTGATAGTAATCTACCTTTCCATCCTGCTACTTTATCTCTAATTTTTGCTTCTAGATTTGCAAAGTACTCCATGCGCGACCTTCCTTTAAACAGATGAACTCCAAGGTATGTTATAGCTCTAGTACCCATTATGAAACATGTCCAAGTGGAGAACATAGATTTCCTGTTAGCTAATAGTTTATTGCTACATAGATAGAAGCTTTTCCTTGGACTGAATTTTAAAGTTAGCACAGACCTCCTGTTTAGGTGGTAATTCCTTTGAAGAAACTGATGGAGGAGCAACATTAGGGACACCCACACAATTAAGAAATCCAGCTTCTTCCATTGCAAGCTTGTCCATTTCTCCTTCAACTTACAATCAGAATAAATTAATGTGCATCATGCTAAGTAACTAAGGAATTTCTCACAAATTGAAAGTCAGACACAATACAATGATGGTTTCATCTGCTCCCTTTATATCATCTAACCTGTAAAATACTTTTTCTGTATCCTTTTCCTAAAATAAAAACAGAATAGTAATGGATCAAAAACACATTACTTAAAATAAATATCTAACATATACTCTTTTTGCCTTTTTCCTGAAATAAATGAAAATTAGGAAAGGATCAGATAGGCAATACTAAATTATTCCTATGCAAAATTGAATGCAACAAGGATACCATCATAAGAATTTACTGAAAGGCTAAATGGGACAATCTAAATAGTAAAACATAAAGTTCAAGGTTAAATAAGGATAAAAAAGGTTCAAAAACAAACTAAGAGGAAGCACGTCTCAAAATGAAGAAAATCACAGCTTGTGAAGTTCTCCAAAAGTGTTCTCTCGACAGTGGTGCACACAAATTGCTGCTCTCTGAGGTGTTTGACACTAATTAGAGAAAGTTCAATAATACCTCCAGGAATCATTCAAGAGAGATTTCCTATAAGGTATTCAGCCACTGGAGATTCAAAATCCAAGCTTCAAAGACATTAAAATGATGGTTATGATTGATTGGAACTAGATATAGAAGTTCGATTAAAAAAACCCTAGGCATTTTTTTATACCAAAACCAAAATTTATGATAAGGACCTGCCAAAATTTCCCACTTTGATGTCCCGATACTTACAACGTACAAGCACTCCATTTCGATGGTAAGTAAAAGTAATAGCAACCTACCAATGAAATGTCTAGAATTATTAGATACGAAAGAAGTAATTCACATTTAGACTGAAATAACAACAACATATTTTTCCAAAAACCCATTCCAGCCGCTCGATTCTTTAGTCGACCTCCCCAAGTCAGTATCCTCAATCCTCAATACAAATTTTCCACCTTTAGACCTAAAATCACAAAATGATCAAAAAACCATTTCAGCCACTCGACTTACAAAGAAAAATGATTAAATTGGATAAAAAAACAAGAAGATAAGAAACTCAAATCACCTGGCGAAGAGATAATTAAAGAGTGTAGTTCTAGCACCATCAACATGAAGATTTCTAGTAGGCAAGGGAGAAAAACGGACTCTAACTTATTCTTTCTCAGCACTAGCCATGGTAGAGACTGAAAACAGTCTTCTGGTTGGAAAAATAGAAGTGACTTTTTAGTTGTACAGAGAAAATGAGAACATAGACTTTTTTATTATAACATAACTTTTTTTAAAAAAATTATGCTGACGCGTAAATATATTTAATTAAAATTACTTCTATTTAGTGTCTCGTAATAAATTTAAAACTATCCTATCATAAGGAATAAGGTTTTAAAATATCTTATTATATGAAAAAAAAAAAAAACCCTTTATGAAATCACGCAAAGATCCTCCCTTGAACCCTATAAATAGAGTAGAAGACCAAGGGCAAAGGACATACACAACAAATATAGAAAAATAAGATAGAGAGGAGGACGAAGAGAGAAACTTAGGTCTTTTTTCTTTTTTTTTTAAGTTTCGGAGAGCTATCTTTGGGCAAGTTTTTCCCATCAATTCTTCAACTATACTTTAAGACATGTTTAGTTTCTACTTGTAGAAGATATATTCCTTTTTGTTTCTATTCTTTTAGTTTATCAAATTCACGTTTTTTTTTTCTCTTGTTTTTTTGTCAAGAAAGTCACCGCCACAAACTAGAAAAAGAGGCAGTAGCATATTTATGAGCATTCTGAGCAATTGTTTATTTTCTTTAAATTTGACTTATTTTTATATGTTGCAATCCCCATGATTGTTTGTTTATTTTATTTTGATATTTTGACAAGAAAAAAAAAAGATTTTTCAATTAGATCTCTTAATTTCACTTAATAAGGGTCAAATCAACAATAGTTTAGAGTTAAGAGTTGTCCTGTTCAATCATGTTTTTGGAAAGTTTATTATATGATTTTAATCTAAACTTTGGGTATGTTAAAAATAAAACATGTCTTAAAAAATTGTGTGTCAAATGTCATAATTTTTTGAGATAGTTTGGACACTCGTTTAAATTCTATTAGTTTATAAATCAACTATGTTTTAGAAGAAGGGTTTAGTTTATAAATCAACTATGTTTTAGAAGAAGGGTTGTTCTGATTTATTTGCAATTTGGGCTTTTTTTTTATTATTATTTGGATTTTCAATATGTTTTAAATAACCATGCCATATAATTATGTGTCAAATTTTATAATTTTTTAGATTATTTGGACATTCATCTAAATTTTCTTTAGTTAACGCCATTTAATTAATTTTTGCATAAAAAAATAATTGATTAAGTGTTTTTCCTTTAAATTGGAGTTTCTATATTAATATTTCAAAAAATATATATAATTATTTTCAAATTATCTTCACCTACACTATATTGCTTAATGTTAATATTCTAAAAATATTTTTACTCCAAAATTTAGGGATTTATAGCATCCTAATTAAATTCAGCAAGTAAAACTTAATGTATTTGATTTGTCCATATTCTCGTCATTTTTACCGATATGGTAATCATATCAAGACTATAATAGAATTCAATGTTAAATTAGCATGACTATTAATTTTAGAGTTTGATGGTAATTTAATACAATCTATTATAAATCATAGTTCATTTAGTATGTCTTAAATCGTTAAATTATTTATTACATGTCATTCGTATCAAGACTATATTAGATCCGATGTTAAATTAATAAAAATTTTTATTTTAAAAACCGATAGCAATTTAACACAATTTCACAATAAATTATAAATCCATTAGTGTGATTTAAAATAACCTCTATTCAATAAAATGTGAATTAATTCCTCAAATTAAATAATTCCAAATTTACAAATGATTTCAGCTAAAGATAAACTCCAAGGTAGGCTTAGAAATGGCTTGGCAAAAATAATATTTTAGGAGAATGATTTTAGAAATAGAACAAGTCGGATATTCTTCGAAACATTTTTTTTTTTTTTTGGTGATTTTTATATTTCCACAAATATAACCAACTTCTCACTTATAATCTCAACAAAATTAGTTAATTAGGTTTCTTAGTATCCTTAAAGTAGTAGATGACAACTCTCGGCGATAACTCTTTTAGTTCTAAAGATCCTATATATCGGTAGCGATAGTAAAAATCAAATTTTATGTATGCACTACTTTGGATTTGGATAGTCTATTTAAAACCAAACCTCAAATGGATTTAGTCTTGCAAAAATTG